GGTATGCAAATTAAAGGGGTCTTCTTTTAACGGTTTTCTTGATGACAAATTAGCTATTGCGTGTTGTAACATCATTTAAAGTTATTTTCGGGTTTTTTAACAATTCGAATGTACTACGATCAGATCTAGACCTGTCATACGATTTTTTGTGCCGCGCACTTGTTGGTAAATTGTGGATATTTTCCTTTTCTCGGAATCGTTTCAAAAGAATCCGTACGGTTCTTGCTTTAAGTTCCAACAACCCTGCAATTTTTCGAGCCGAAAAGACTACTGTAAACAGCTTTACAATGTCTTCTTGAACGGCTGCGGTCGATTCACGGCCTTTTTGAGCTATTGAGGGGCAGACGACAATATAAAGACATAGAAAGGGGAATAACTCTATTTGAGTGTATACGCAATTTACTACATGGTACAAATTGTTCCGGTAGTGGTTTTGTGAGAAATACGTGTTATTTGGGCAAAGATACAGCTGAAAACGACAGAAATACATTTTATTCACTTAATGACGTCGGGATTATGCGCCAATACTTATGGTCAGTGATTGTATAATAAATAAATGTATATAGTTTACATTATTTTCTCATATGTCTATAACAATTTATGTGACTCTAATGATGCCATATCGTGGAGTTTGTCGTTCATGTGTCTGTTGTTCGTCCTTTGGTTGTCAACAGTTATTTTAAACGGCTTCTTCTTCTTAACCACTGATTGGAATTTGGTAAAATTGAATTGATGTTAAGAGGGTTGAGGGGCAAAAAGGATGCAATTTGGGTATATTGTTACAAACGAGTTATGTGGAGAAGTATGCACAGGATATTATTCATATCTGATCAATAGTTTTCATGGGAAACGGGGATTCAAAATTGTACAAATGGTGGGGCTGAACTCCCAGAGAGCTGACGGGCAGGGTGAAAAAGGGTGATTTGCCTATATTGCTTTAAGTGATTTGTTCTCTGAAACTAACCGATGGATAGCTTCTTGATTTGCTTAGAAGCATCTTGAGGTGGCAGGGATGCAAAATTGAACACATGGTGGGGCTGACAAGGGGGGGCAAAAGGGTGCGATTTAGTTAAATTGCTATAAACAAATGTTTCTGTAGAACTATGCAGTGGATATATCAATTATATTTAGACAAGGATTCATGGGAGGCAGGAGTTCAAGATTTTACAAATGGTGTGGCTGATTTTCAGTGGGGCTTAGGTATGAAGCAAAAGGGTTATTTGATTATATTGCTACAAGCAACTTAATTTTTTCTGGAACTAAGAGATGGATATTAACCATATTTGACTGAAAGCATTATTAGGTGGTGGGATTCAAAATTGTACAAATGGTGGAACTGGTCTGTCAGGGGGTGACGGGTGGGGCTAAAAGGGGGTAATTTGGGTATAGATGAATTGCTATTTACAACTGTTTGTAGTAGAACCATGTATTGGATATCAATCATATTTAATCAACAACATTCATGGGAGGCAGGGGTTCAAAATTGTACAAATGGTGGGGATGAACTCTCAGGGAGCTGAGGGGCGGGGTGAAAAAGGGTGATTTGGTTATATTGCTTTAAGCGACTTATATTTTAGAACTAATTGATGGATATAAGGCACATGTGACTGGATGCATTCATAGGGATCAGAATTCAAAATTGTACAAATGGTGGGGCCTTCAAAGCGGGACCAAAAGGGAGCAATGTAGTTATATTGTTATAAATGATTGGTTCTGTAAAACTATGCTATTGATATTGATCATATTTGGTTGGAAGCATTCAAAATTGTAGAAATGGTGGGGCTGAGTTCATAGGGCCAAATAAAGTTGATTATGGCAAAATGGTAGAGATCTTCAACGTATAACCATATAAACGATTGGTGAGTATAAAGTATAAAGAAAAGAATGCACGTTTGTTCCAGGATGGCGCTAGGGTATGTGGCTTCATTTTTGGAAACATAGTTTTTGGGTCATAACTTTAAAATGGTTGAGATTTTCATTATAAGAGTATGTATACATATTTGGACATAGAGAGACAAATGCAGTTATTATATAAGAATTGAACTTGAGGTTTGACCAAGGTTCATTTGCAAGCTTTGTTTAAAGACAAAACGCTAGGAACTATGTCAGCTTTCTTAAATGTTTGTGTCGATTAAAAGTTTGTTTAATATCCTAGACACAATGAAATTAGTGGAGGATAAAAGGATGGAAACACCTGATACGTTGTATTGTACATCATTTGACCAAGACTGAATAAGATCAGTCAAACAACTGAAAAGTTATGGCTTTATATAGGAAAATGTGTTTATAGTGACCAGTTAGCATGACAACAAAAATTTTGATGGGGAAAAAAAGTCCATCACAAATTGGATGTTTAAGGATAAAACTTTGGCATGTATGATTGAAATTAGTTCAGCAGTTAGGAGGAGTTCGCTGACATCATTGTGTCTACAGACAGACGGATGGACAGACACCCTGATTCTAATTATTTGATATTCATGTTAATATTGCAAATTTTACAAGAGAAAAATCAAACTACGTGAATAAACATGCAAAGGAAACGTTGAATACGTTACAAGTGCTAAATGATTTAAAGTGATATTGTTATGTAAAACAGCATGACACTTTTTGGTGTTTTGTTAGCACAAGAAAGATATATGATGAGCTTCGTCTGTCCATATACAAAAAAAAAACATTATTTATAAATCTGTTGTACAGTATGTACTTTATATAGACAATAAAAATCTTTTATGAAAAAAGAGGAGTTTACCGTCCTTTACGAACTGGCCAGTGACCCACTTGATTCAATACTTACTTGAATGTGTATGTTTTTGTACAAAAGACAATAATCACATACATTGTGATGACATTGGTACAGACTTAAACAGTATATTTCACTTCAAGACATTTTTGTCTTTATCATAACATTATGTGTGTTTGTCATGAAAACATAGTTATACAATCTAATACACAAATATATACTACACAAACCATATAGGTCATGTGTCATTCATCCATTCTATGGTACATTATAGCAATAATCCATGTTCATTGTTGATGGAATGGTTTGTTACTCAACCTTTTCATGGCACATCATAGTGGTAATCAATGTTAATTATTGATGGAATGGTTTGTCACTCAATCTTTTCATGGCACATCATAGTGGTGTCACCAGCAGACAAAGAACCAAACCAAGTTGGTAGACCAAGTTGTCGAATCATAGCAAAAACATCTTTTTTTCTCTTTTCTAAGTATGGTGGAGAATTTCTCAAAGTTCTAAAGATGTAGAATCCTTCATCAAGATTGACCAACTTGTTCATTTCTGATGAATTCAGAGCATCTGCAGCAGTTATAGTTTGTCCTTTGCTTTTACATCTTCTGACAGCCAAATTCACTTTATCAGATATTTGTTTCATTTGGATTTTTTTCATCTTAAAAAATATATTTGGTACAGAATTGGCACATCTTCTGTCCACATGTCTAAGTTCATATTTAACGATGTCACTATAATGAACCTTTACTTGTCTTTGTTTATTGTCAACTCTACGTTTACCACAAAATATAGTAGGAAAGGATAACTCTTCTGCATCTTTATCAGAACACAAACTCAGAGGGTGTTGACCTTCTCCAGGTGCAAATGTGTATGTGGAATCAGTTTGAGGACAAATGGGCTCGATCAATGTATCTGAATTCCCTATAACCCTATCTCTGTCATCAATTTCACTGAATGTGTCCGATTCATTACCTTCATCATCTGATTTGTCGCCTGGGTCAACTGAATAATTTTGCATGAAAGATTTGACAGATTCATCAGCAGAGCTGTTCAGTTTTGAAACCCATTCGTCATCAATTTCAATACCAGATTCTTTGTACAGATCACTATTTTTGAACAACCAGTGTAATGCAACAAGTACACTTTGTGGCCGTACATTTTCTGTAAATTCACACTTGTTATAGATTAATTTTCTGCTTATTCGTACTGGTATGGTGGTGTCTTCAAATTGACGTGGTAGTGCCTTGATTGTTGGTTGAATGTCTACTGGAACATTAACAACATTACCACGGATACTCAACTGACCACCTCCAGGGAGTTCTCGCATCTGCATGAAAGGGATTCGTAAAGCAACTAATCTCTCTTCAAGTTGATGCAAATGTAATTCAGATGGTTGCTTTGGAAATGACAATTTATTCGCAGTTGACAATGTTGGCATTTTTCCATTGTTTAGACTTGATGAGCAAGTTCTACATATCCATTCTTTGCCTTTTTTGGATTTGTAACCTGTGGCGCATATTTTACAGAGTGGATTTCTTTCAAGATTGGCAGAAAATTCAGTAACTGAGTGTTTAAACCATGTTTGATGACAGCAGGTACAAATATAAGTTGGGCCATCTGCAACTGTGGTGTGAAATTTATTTATCGTTTTGTCCAAGTTATACCCTTCCTTGCTTTGTTTCTCTTTTGATATGTACGCTGGATCTTTTCTCAGGTTTCTTTTATTTTTTTTTGTTTTGAAATCTTTCTTTGATAACATGGTAAACATTTTGTCTAGATGACTGTTTAGCAATCCTTTCTTTTTCAACGTAATATTTTGAACATCTAGCCTTGCTTTTACATTTAAGCTCCTGAGCCTTTTCTTTGATTCTAAACTCAGTTTTTTTCTCTTTTTTTTTCTTTTTTTCTGTCTCCTTGGCTCTTTCTTTTTCTCTGAACTCATGATCCAGTCTTGCTATCTTTTTGCTGTGTTTTTCTGCTTTTCTGAGCTCATCAACCAGTCTAGCTTTCTTTTTGTTTTCTTTTTCTTTTGGTCTTTCTTTTTCTCTGAAGTCATCAACCAACCTAGCCCTCTTTTTGCTTTCTTTGTCTTCGAGTCTTTCCTTTTCTCTGAACTCATCAACCAGCCTAGCCCTCTTTTTGCTTTCTCTTTCTTTGGGTATTTCCTTTTCTCTGAACTCATCAACCAACCTAGCCCTCTTTTTGCTTTCTTTTTCTTTTGGTCTTTCCTTTTCTCTGAATTCATCAATCAGTCTTGCCCTCCTTTTGCTTTCTTTTTCTTTTGGTCTTTCATTTTGTCTAAACTCATCATCCAGTCTTGCCCTTTTTTGCTTTCTTTTTCTTTTGGTCTTTCCTTTTCTCTGAACTCATTATCCAGTCTTGCCCTCTTTTTGCTTTCTTTTTCTTTTGGTCTTTCATTTTGTCTAAATTCATCATCAAGTCTGGCCCTCTTTTTGCTTTCTTTTTCTTTTGGTCTTTCATTTCCTCTGAACTCATCATCAAGTCTGGCCCTCTTTTTGCTTTGTTTTTCTTTTGGTCTTTCATTTCCTCTGAACTCCTCATCCAGTCTAGCTTTCTTTTTGCTTTCTTTTTCTTTGGTTCTTTCCTTTTCTCTGAACTCATCATCAAGTCTTGCCCTCTTTTTGCTGTGTTTTTCTTTGTGTTTTTCCTTTTCTCTAAATTCATCATTCAATCTGATGGTCTCTTTACTTTTTCTTTCTTTTTTTTTGAATGTGTTATTGAGTCTAGCTTTCCTTTCTCTTTCCGTTTCCATTGTTTTGAAGAAACCATCATTTCTACATACTTTTTTCCTTTCCATGTCCTTCTTTCTTTCTTTCAGTTTGAAAAGTTCATTCTGTCTTTGTTTTCGTTTGTATTCCTTGTTATATTTTTTTTCTGTTTTGTTTGATGACAATACTGTTCGAAATGTTCTGATTTGTCATAATGCTCTCGTTTATCGTTCTTGTTCTTGACGGCCAGTTCATTTTGAAATTTAAAATATGCATCAAGTCTATTGTATGTGTGTTTTTCTTCTGTAAGAGAAGTCTGGCCAGATACAATACCGAGTTTTACCACTTTGTTCGGTGAAAGAACTCTGTGACATGTTTGATAGCAAGTAGGATGCAAGACTTTTTGTTTGCAAACAGGTTGCGTTTTTGCATCACATAATTGAATGTTTAACCTACAATGGTCACTGCTGGTACTGATATCAGTTATAGACATACATTCCAACTGAACAGTTACAGCTGTAATTTCAAAGGGGTCATATACTGCACAATTCATTGAAGCTCCCAAGTTTAGACAATGTTGATACACGTCTTGAATGTGTGAACAGCAAAAAACAACACTTTTGCCATCTGGTACTTGTAAGCCTGATAAGTTGCGAGAATGCGAATCAAAAACAAAGTATTTTCCATTTTGTTTAAGGACAATGAAAATGTTCCCTTTAAAAGTAACAAATGCACCATGACTTTCATCTTGATCCAGAGAAGCATGCAAAGCCTCATCAAGTGTGACATACAGAAATACAGTTAGGTCCTGACCGGTATCACCCATTGTCCCTTGCAATGATTCTTGGAATGCAAATTTGTAAATTCCTCCATCAAATTCTAGTTCCCTCGGTATTTCTTGAATAGATACATAGTCATGATGCATTGTGGAACCTTCTCTGAGAAATCCATAAACTTCATCACCTTTTACTAGAATGTCATCTAGATCTGAACTTGTCCATGTATTGATTGATTTATTCTTACTAAACATAAGAGCTGATACACAGTTTAGTACACATTGTTTTCCTGAGTTTTGTTGAAACCTAGAATGTCCCTGATGAAAATGTCCCTGTATTGTTTCATTGGTTAGTGTTTGCAATTGTGTAATTCTCAATTCCACCTCTTGATTTATATGGTAAGGATTTTCAACATGTAGATTATCAGTATGGTGCTTTGGTACCTTTTGCATTTGATTTGTCTCAGAATCTGAACATAATTGAATTGGTGTGCATTGCAGATGCACGTCTGAATGAGGATTTGGGTAATTTTGTTCAATCACAACAGGCTTTTGCTTTTTTGTACTTTTGTTTGTTGGTGCAAATATGAATCTTTCTGATTTCTTTCAGTATCACTACCTGCAAATGTGTCAACAGTCACATTCCTATCTTCTACACTCAAAACTGCATCATAATGTGCTCGGTACTTATGAATCAAGTATATAGCTTCTTGTTCAACATAGCTGCTTTTATTTACTTGCTTTGCTGAAAATTGTAACCAGGAAGTTGCATTTTGCTCAAAAATGTAAATATCTGTACAGAGAAAGTCTGCAGCAGCTAATATTTCTACTTCTGTAGCCCAGGTACCATTTTGCAGCATCTTTCTTTTTTTAACCCAATCATTTGTGGACTTGTAACCAGATCGTAAGTGGCTTGCATACTTGCTACTATTTTTCAACATATGATGAACAATAGAGTGTCGTAATCTTTCATGGTGCATTTCTTCACCAGCAAGGCTATAGGACAAAGCCCGGAAAAAACAATTACCATCACCTTCAATATTTTTTGTGTGTTTTGGTATACCCAGTGGTTTCACACAAGTGCCTTTTGTTTCAGTGCCAAAATCTACTGTTACACCCAGTTTCTGCATTAGTTTCTGCTTGATACAATTTGTTAACTGATTGAAGTTGAAGACTACTGGTCCACTTTCTTTGACAAGAATAACTTAATCATTTTCATTGCATGGTGGACACCCTTTATCTTGGTTTGGCACCTTCGTGGTAATCTGCACTAATTTCAAAGCAGCCGTTTCAACAAGTTCATGTTGTGGTACAACACTTGCAGTGTGTGACAATTCCACAATTTTGTTCTGAATTTGTTTTTTCACTGCATCAGTCAAAGCAAATGTTTGCTTGTTGTTGTTTCCCAAATTTGTATTATGTAAATCTGATGTGGCAAGTTTGCACGCTTTCTTATTTGTTATCCTTTGAACTAGCCTTCATTCTTTCTTTCCTTTTTTGTTTTTCACAATTTGTTCATCCGTCTTGCACACAGGGGAGGCCGTCCTTAAATGACCTTAGCTGTTAATAGGACGTTAAACAAAATCAAACAAACAAACAAACAAATCATCCGATGTAATTTTTTCCTTGTTTTTTTCATTAAGTTGAGACATTGCATTTAATTCTTCTCTTTTTTATTTCACTTCCCTTGATTCTCCTCTTGTTTTTGTTAGCAGTGTGTTTGTGTGCATTCCTTCCAGATTGCTTTCTGTTAGCACATTTTGTACTCCCTGCACTATTTGAAATTTCTTTATCAAATTTGATTTTCTTGTTTTTTGTTTTGATTCTTCTTCCATTTGTTGGTTTTTGCCAAGAATATCTAATTTTTGAAATGCATATTTTTCTGCCTCTGACTTGCTTGTTTTTAATTTCATTGGAGACCTGTTTGAAGCTTAGAGAAGACTTTTTTCTATCAGCTTTTGCTGTTATCAGCATTATATTGTAAAGTTTCTTTTTCTTATTCTTGACAACATTTTCTGCTTTTGCTTTACTTATTTGTTTAACGTTGCCATGGGTTCTTTGGGTTTTTTCAGTTTCTTTGTAATATTGATTTCATCTTTGCCTTTCAAAGGTTCAAATTCTATGTCAGCATGCATGGGAGAATTTTCAGATAAAAACTCAGCTTTAAAATCATTGACACTCCATTCAGGTTTTGTTTCAATGGTGTTCACTTCATGCTTGTTATCATTTCTTACATGTGTCATTTCAGTGCCCAGTTCAATATGAAATTCATTGCTCATTCCTATGCTTAACTCAGTGCTTATCTTTGTGCTCAAATTAGTGTTCAGTTCATTCAGAAGAGGGACAAATGACCATCTCATCAGATTAGAGACGTTCATTCGAGAGGCTTTCGCCAAGAAAGAACACCTTGTCTCCGTGTTCTTTGATCTTGAGAAGGCCTATGATACTACATGGCAGTATGGCATCATGAAAGATCTTCACGACCTTGGCGTACGTGGAAACCTCCCCAATTTTATATCCAATTACCTATCAGATAGACACTTCAAAGTCCGCGTTGGTTCAACTTTCTCTGAAACGTCTAAACAGGAAATGGGAGTCCCACAGGGTGGAATCCTATCAGTCACACTGTTTGGTCTTAAAATCAATGATATAGTCAAATGTCTTGGTCAATCAACAGAAGGGTCGTTATTTGTGGATGACTTCTTGATCTGTTACAGATCTAAGAACATGCACACGATAGAACGACAACTTCAACAGAGTTTAAACAAACTACAAAATTGGGCAGACGAAAACGGCTTCAAATTCTCTAAATCCAAAACTGTGTGCATGCATTTCTGTCAAAAACGAAAAGCACACAATGACCCAAATCTAACACTCGATGGCACTAGAATTCCTGTTGTTGAACAGACTAAATTTCTCGGCCTCATTTTTGATTCGAAACTCTCTTTCATACCACATATAAAGTATCTGAAGGATAAGTGTTCCAAGGCGTTAAACATTATACGAGTCCTTTCTCATACTGATTGGGGAGCGGATCGTGAAATGCTTTTGCGCCTATACAGATCACTTATTCGAACAAAACTGGATTATGGTTCTATGGTATACGGGTCAGCGCGCAGTTCGTACCTTCAGATGCTAGATCCAATCCATAACCAAGGGCTACGTCTTGCCCTGGGAGCTTTTCGAACAACACCTGTAAAAAGCCTGTACGTGGAAGCAAATGAACCATCCCTTTATGACAGAAGAATAAAACTTTCATTACAATTTGCAACTCAATTAAAATCAAACCCTAAAAATCCTGCTTTCAACCAAGTATTCAACCCCAAATACCAAAACATATTTACGCAAAACCAAAAACTTCTGCCAACATTTGGTATCCGAATTTTGAATTTCCTGCAAGAACTCAACATAAAATTGACGGACATAGCTGAATTTAACATATCTGATGTTCCTCCGTGGACCATTCAAACCCCCGATTTTAACTTTACATTACATGAGCGAGGGAAATCAAGTGTTATGCCCGAAGAACACAAATCCTCCTTTCGGGAATGCATTTCGAATTACCCTTCTCATACACAACTTTACACCGATGGCTCCAAAGAAGGTGAGAAAGTGGCAGCAGCCTGCTGTACTGCCAATACTTGCACTTCAGTCCGACTACCAGACGGCGCCTCCATCTTTTCTGCTGAAGCATGCGCCATTGGTTTGGCCCTCGACCATATCGATGAACACCGCATTAAAAAGGCAATTATTTGTTCAGACTCTCTATCTGTCCTACAGAGTTTACAGTTACGAGATCCTAAAAACACAATCGTACAAAACCTTGCTCTTCGAATATCTCGTATATTAAAAAAGTCTAAAATAACTTTACTATGGATTCCGAGCCATGTCGGAATAAAAGGCAACGAATTTGCTGACAGGGAAGCAAAAAATGCATTGAATCTCGAACAAACAAATATCAAACTACCATACACAGATTTTAAACCTACTATTCGTACAGCCATTCAAAATGAATGGCAGAAACGCTGGTCTCTGGAGACCAACAACAAACTTTTTAAGATACAACCGAAACTTAAAACATCTATTCCCAGTCGGAAAGATCGTAGAGAGGAAGTTGTCCTCGCTCGGCTCCGCACTGGGCACACATATCCTACTCATTCGTACCTTTTAAAACGAGAAGATATACCTTCATGCCACGCATGTGACACTCCATTTACAGTGGAGCATTTTTTAATAGAATGTTCCGATTTTAAACACATTCGTGATAAC